GGGTTTTTTTTTCTCTCATGTATAATCATGGTGGGTATGGTTTGGGGGAAAAAAACATGTTTCTGTTTACAACTGTGCATAGCCAGCAAATCACACAGAAGTGGGTTTTTTTCTAATCCTGCAGCCAGCGCAAAAAGGTAAAGGATTAAGTTACGGCCGTTACCTCACCCCAGTTCAGTGCCAAGAGATTACACCAAGCCAAGCTTGATAGGGGTGAAATATCTTCTAGAAGGTAGAGTTACACTTTTATGACAGATACACATATTTCCCGCTGCAGCAATCATTAAAGAGGAGGTAAGCAAATAGGAGCTCTGTCTGTGCTTGCAGAGAGGCGGAGCTCTCGCAGCAGATTAGAGCTTGCGCCGATGACAAGAAGTGATATTGAATGTCACCAAATTCCTCTGTACTGATTTAATCAGGTCTGCTTGGAGTTTCCCCTGCTGTGTTTCAGGTGCGACATAAATCTACATAAAGTGTCAGTTTCAGAGGAGGACCACAGAAAGACCACCTGTTCAAAGCAAGCTGTGATTCACATCACATGAGATAGTCAGCATTTAAAGCGATGGAGAAGAAAATGGACAAAGGCTTGGACAAAATTCAAGATTCAAAATGGCTGCTAAGACTGTTTTAAGCTATAAGACATACAGTACAGTGTAAATTTAGACAACCCTTCAGAAAATTACATAGAAGCCTCCATAACTGAATATAATATCACTTTTTCAGTGTTCAGTGTGTCACTCTTTACCTTTATTCCAGTTTCCATTCTTTTCAGGAGACTCACTTTCAGTTTCTCAAAGAAATCTGCAGACACACCTCCAAAGTTCAGTCTTAGAAGTTGGTTGATCATTTTCTGAAGTAATCAAACATATTCAGTGATGTTGAGGTCTGGACTCTGGGGTGGTCAGTCCATTGTTCAGCTTCTTGTGTCTGTCTCCTTTTCTCAGTGAGGCTTCTAGACAGCTACACATCCTTTCAGACCCATAGCACTGAGTTGTCTTCTCATAGTCGAAGGATGGACAGAAACATCTGTGGATGTTTTCAGATCTGAAGCAGCTTGATTTACCCCTCTCTCTCAAAGAGGAAAGCTTGTGAGTGCTGTTTATCTGATGGGCCAGTTTTAGTGTCTACCAGATCTTGCCAGTGAAGTCCCACTTTCTCTGTAGCTTTTAATATTTTTTTTGATTTCCTGTTTTTGAAGCTCCTGTATGTATCATGTGGATTAACTTTTATCTAATATCAATAAAAAAAGATCTCCTTAAAAAATAAATAACTTGTACTTAATAGTCATTATCACTGGAAATCAAATAAATTAGGAGTGGTCTCTGACTTTTTGCACAGAACTGTTCTTTTGTCCATTGTATAAACTTCCATTATATGTTAATTACATTAGTTAATTTGTAGCTCCAGTGCAGAACTGGATAAGCAAACTTTGAACACCAGTCATGTTTGAGCAACAAATTTTTAGATAGTACCATTGCTTTAACAAGATAACACCACACAGTCCTGGTTTCAATCAGACACAGGAAAAACTGCGCAGGATGGGACTATGGGTCATTACAATAGCCCACAATTCAGCATCCTAACCTCTGGTCTGCAACCATCTGTAATGAAACTGCTCGTCCCTATAGCTTTGACCGCTCGCACACTGCGACCTTATCCTCTATTGGGCCTTTTGTTCAGAGTCTGTCAACCACTGCAGTTAATGACTTCAGTAAACCTGGAGAGTGTAATCCAAAGGGAGCCATGCACCATAACTCTGAGTTCCACAGTCCTCTTGGGGAGGGAACAGGAAAGCAGTGGGCTGCCATAACTCCCCATACAGGAGGCCCACAGCAAACAGTATGGGGGGGTGTAGACCCACCAGTCCCAGCCAATTAAACAACTCCAGTACTCAGCGAAGTAATCACCTCACAGGCCGCCTGATTGCCTCTACAGCAAAGCGAGCCATATAGGAACAGGCTGTGGGGGTGGGGGGGGGCACTGTGGCTCTTGTAACCCCACAGACGTAAATGTGTTTAGTGAACAGGAGCAGATTAGCTACAAGAAGATGGCACCTTATTTGTGTGGCCCTGAATGAAATTCCTGCTCTCTCCAGACAGTAATCTGATCAGAACATATTCTTAAATCTGCAAAAGTCACTGTTATATAAGAATATATACCACTGTGCAAAAGTCAGAGATCATACTTCATTTGTTAAACTTCCAGTCATATGGCTATTGTGTACAAGTTATTAATTTTTCAGCATAAGGAAAAAAAGAAAACATATTTCAATTAAAACTTTACACATAATCCTCATCAAGTATTTAGTGTGTCCACTTTTATTATAGCTTCCATTCTTCTCAGGAGACCTGTTTTTGTTTTTTTTTCTTTAATCTGCAGGGATATTTTTTCCACATTTTCAAAGTTAAGTCATAACTTTGTCTTGCATTTCCTGCTTCTTATTATCTACATTATTCCAAATAGGTTCAGTGATGTTGAGGACTGGAGTAGCCAGTCCACTGTTCTGAAAATAATCTTCTTTGTTTGATTTGCAAATTTTCTTTTTTTCTCCAGTTCCTTTGAAATAAATAACATACTTAATGGCTGTTCAGAATGGAAATTAAATGAAATAAAATAAATTAATATGAAGTCTGGCCTCTCTGACTTTCACACAGTGCTGTATATTTATATTTTGGAATATACTTACAGCTTGTAACAATCAAGCTTCATTCTTGCAGGGGTCCCACCAAACACACAGGCTTAACATCATCCCTATACAACAGTTTATATTTTATTTATATTTTGGAATATACTGATGAGACTTAGCAACAGAATTAAATTATTAATAGGGAAACATACAGTAAACATACTGATAAACAACTTCCCACCAAAAATGGTCCCAACAAGTTCCCATCAAACAAGCTTCAAACATCCCACCAAACACACTGTCTAAAAAGTTCCAACAAACATACACTCCAAATAAATTCCCACCAATCATGGTCCCAACAACCTCTTACAAAACGCCCTCCACTAAACTCACATTCCACAGAAACCTCCTCCAAACCCTTTTTTTAATGAGTGTTAAGGCATGACTACTAGAGCTTACTCTTCAGTTCAGACGACTACATTTCGAAAATCAAATGAGGAAAAATCACATCTACAATAATGACAATTTCTCTTAGCGCCACTAAGACATTGAGTATGTTAGCACTAAAAAAAAGGCAGTTGACATGAACATTTTTGGCCATTCTAGCTTAATCACAGACGCTTGAAGCTTGTAAAAGACATTTCATATATATATATATATATATATATATATATATATATATATATATATATATATATTTATATACCCATTAGCCTTGAAATATATGCACATATACACAATATACACATACTATTCCAATATACAGTTTTGTACAGTAATGTAAGTTATGAAACCCATTGGAAATCAAAACATGATTAGTTTATTCCACTGTCACTTCCTAGTCACATTAGTGGATAATCAGGCCATGAGTTCAGCTCCTGAGACTTAACCAACAGGAGAGTTTGCTTGGCTGTATCAATGAGATACTACAGAGAAAAATCTGTGACAAAATTATGCTGGTCCTTTCAAGAATCTTCTTTTTCAGGACAGCTGTTTTTGGACCATTTCTACTGACTAGTTTCTAGGTTTTCATACAGCTGTTCATAATTTTAATCAGCATAATTTTAATCAGCATAAAATTGTGGGTTTTGGAGATTAACATATAAGTATTAAGTAATTAAAGCATTAGTTTGAGAAAAGTAATAAGTAATTTGTAACAGATTAAGTTTTTTTTTAAACAAGTCTAACAGTGCCAATAACCCCTCACCAAACACACCCCCAACAAGCTGCTACCTGGCACTTCTACGGTTCACTTTTTTTTTCTATTCAGGGAGAAGTGCAGTAATTTCTCAGTCTGTCAGAGTTGGTGAAAAACAATCCCTCTTTTACTGGGGTAAACGGAGGAACAGCATATTGGGTTACAGACTTCATAAACAACGACAGATATCGTGAGATGGAAGGCATGAGGTAAAGAAGCCCTTCTTTGTTCTCCGGTGGTGATAATGAATGGTGGCATCGGAACTACACGTCTTCAGCAGGTAACGGCTCATAAACACAGTGTGCTCTTGCCCTTTATCATTGAATGTTGCATAAATGATGCCATACACATTTAATAGCGCACCTCCTGCCAGTCATGTCAAATATAATTCTCTCCTCATTAAACATGAGGCCAGCTTGCTTCCTGTCCCACAATCAACCTTTTGTTAGAGCGACTGAAAATGGCTTTGCTGCTCTGGAACTGAAGGCTCCAACTACATCTGGCTGCTGTGGATGCTGCATAGGCATCTGTCAAGCTGCGACTGACACAGTGCTGAAGACCACCTCTTATTTGACAGACTGTAGAACGAGGAAGGTTTTGATTAAGCCTGAATGACTGCTGCAGGCGATGAGCGCTTGTGGAAAACAAGATAGTGAAGGACTATGAATCAAGGGCTCACACACACTCTCACTCACACTGATGTTCAAATGTTTAGAATTACTCATGATATTGAGAACTTTTGTAGTTATTAGGCTTTATTCAATATTTCAAGCTTTTTGGGGAGAACATGAGCCAGTTTTTGAGAAATAAAGAACTGTAATAATCAGGTTATAGTAATATCTGCCTCTGATTTGATCATGTGAAGCATTCTGGATATTAATTTGTGTCATAACTTCTTTCTTGATGTTGCTGTCTAGGTGGACGAGGCCTGGGATGACATTATGGTAGCAAAATGTGTTAATGCTACGTTTACATTATGACGAAAGGCAGACGACTTGTTTACAATGGAGCAGTAGTGGACAGTACTGCCATCATCAGCGCTTAAATATTTCGTTTAGAACATCAACAAAACATGTTAATTTGACTGCGGATATTCAAACTTTTGCACACAACTGTATAATGGGGTTTATACACAAAACTTTTAAACTGTAGTGCACACGCTGTGGTTGCACTTACCGATGACACTGAGAGTGAAGTTCAGGGTGACACTACCAAAACCGTTGATGGCGCGGCACACATAGACTCCAGCATCCTCTGCTTCTATCTCCTTTATCTTCAGACTGTGTGTTCCTCTGAGGACGCGGAAGCGGCTCCAGCCTGGGCTCACAGTACGTCCGTCCTTCATCCAGTGCCACAGCGGTGGAGGGTCACCTTCGACAGGGCATGGAAGACGCACGGTACGTCCCAGCTGTGCCGTCTGCCTCTCCTCCACCCCACGGGTCACCCACGGAGGACCTACGGGCAAAACGTACGCTGCTGTCATATTCAACCAAGACAACACTGCCATCACTGCTGAGTTTGGAAAGTTTGAAATCGATGTTGTCAATGACACAAAGCTAAATTTATTGCAGATACATGCATCAAATGACACTAATATGATGCTTATAATATGCAACTGCACAGAATTTAAGTTTATATAAATTATTTCAGAAGAAGCCGCATAACACTTATAACGTAATAATAATAATAATAATAATAATAATAATAATAATGATAACATACGTAGTGGCGTGTATTTGAAAAGTGGTGATCAAATCTTTAGGCACACAACAAGAAAATCGACATAGATAGAAGGATATTATTTATGATTTCTTGTTGTTCCCAAAAAGTTAACACTTAAATAAAGCAGTTTAATCATTATCAAATAGTTTGTTAATGATTATTGGTAAATATCTGTATTTATATTTTTATAAATGCAACCATTTTAATTGTTAACCACTGACTATGCAAAAATATAATTGATATATACATTTTACGTGTTTACATTTTGTGTTTACATTGATTCAAACAATTCAAAATTATTATCAATAACTACATTGTAATGGTTTGTTATAACTTCCAATGTTTTCAATGTTTGAAAGTACTATAAATGCATATTTCAAAATATTTATTAATCCACTGTCACAATTTTATGCTGGATCCAATTAATAAATATTAATTTAATGATAGTTAATTCTGCATTAAGTGCAAACTTTTATACAGTAAAGTAGCAAGACAATAAAAAAAAACTCATTAAATAAAACGCAGATAAGTACTAAGTAGTTATTCGTAACTAAGTCACCTAAGTTATCACTTAGTTAATGGTGGCATTTGTAGGAATTGTATCATTACTAATAACCATTTACACAGTATTAGATAAGGACTAAGGAGTTATTTGTTTGGCACTGTAATACAAAGTGTCACCCCTGAATTAAATATTCTGTAAAAATAACCTCCAGTTAAATATTCAATAAAAATAACAAAAGAATAGAAACATTTGAATGGTAGTTTATTTTGACCAAAACTGCTAAAGTAGCAAAGAAGGAGTGGACGCTAGCTAACTGCCGGCCTTTATGTCCTGTTTGTGTTTCTGGCTGAACGAGTCTTTTATCCACAAATGAACATCAGCCTAAATGCACCCTGACTTAATAGGTTAAGAGCACTTTTTATTCCTTGCATGATTTGTGTCTGCCTCCACAAGGAATGTCTGTGTGAGCTCAGAAACACGTCCACAGTCAAAAGACCTGCGTCTGCCTACTGAATAATCCCATTGTGCGCCCATTAGCCAAAGGCTGGATTTACAGCATGTTTCATATCATGGTGTCAGCAGACAAGATTTTTCTTTATTTATTTAAGGCCATTTATTCAGTGTGTGGCAAAAATGTGGAGGACAGTGAGGTCAAAGTCTTTGGAGAGAGAAAAATGTGGAAAATGAAACAGTTTGAGGTCGTAATGAGTGAAAACCACTGTGCTACTCACAGACTCATCAGTTTCCTTTGTGGACTGTCCTGAAGTGACTACAGCAACAGAGAAAGCTGGACAAAACCCTCAGAACTAACAGCTATCACCAGTGATAACAAACGCATCAGGTTATTTGATTTTTTTTTCCTCAAAATGTCTGCATAATTAAATATTTAAGAGGTAAACAAAGATATTCAATGTGGTTTAATGTGACATGATCCATTCTAGAGACACTTACTGAGTCAGAATTATTCACAGTGGTGGTGATAGGAACCAGACGTGCATTGTGAGGCAAAATAGTACCCAAAACTATGTGTTTTTTTTACAGATTTGTTACTGCATGTATTAATAGATATTTTATTATTACAAAAAAATCAAATCATAAATCAAAATTCATTTTTTCCCCATAATAAAATATCTATCAGAGCAGCATGAGTTGTAATAAGTGAGTACATTTGAATATCATAGCAAACCAAAAGTAAACTCCTGCGTTCTAAAGCTTAAACATAACTTGAAATGAAAAAGGCCAAATTTAGAGTTGATTTCATAATTTTCACACCAGGCCCCTCCCTCTGAGAGCAGGAACGGAAAAATGAGAGAGTCTCAGCTCGAAACTTTTCGGGGAATGTTTCTCTCAGCTTTTTCATGGTGCTTGTGTGAACAAGGTCCTTTTCATCCACCTCATACTGCTCAGGGAGATTCCCATGAGGACTAGCTTTCCATTTCCTTTGGCCCACTCTGACCACCTCAGCAGCAGAGCCTGCATAAGTGTGAGTGTGAGTGTGTGTTGGACGGCATCTCTCATTCATGCCCGGTACTGTCACATCCTGTTGCCTGCTCCAGCAGCTGCTCCAAGAACCACCAAAGATTATGGAAATTGAAAAATGAAACTGCACCCAAATTATTATTATTATGTTTTTTTTTTTTCTTCAACTCCCCCTCACAATCTCCCTCTTGGAGCGAAGTGTTTTCACCTGGAGCCACTGGTCGCCATCCAGGAAAATGCCACGGGAGCTGAGAGAGGGAAAAAGTAAGGGTTGTTTTGGTGCTGGAATTAAATTACAGTGCATTCCTCAAGGTTCCACTAAGAAGTCCTCGCTGAAAATATTGCTCTGTGCTCCTATAATGGCATCAAAATTTCACCCTCCAAATAGAGCAGAGAAAGATAGCAATAAAAAATTAATACTGCTGTAAAGCTGTAGAGGTGCACATAGAAAGACAGAGCATCTATAGTCTCTCATACTGTGAGACTTTAGGTCAAATTGCACTTTCACAAATGCTGACTGCTGAAGAGAAAACAACACATTTTGCTCCAAAATTAGGATTATAATCTAATTGCTGCTTTCCTTTATGACAACAATTCATTTCATTCATGATGAAGGAGTGCATGATTTTTAAGAATTTCTTAAGCGTCAGGTGGACTGACAGTGGCTCAGGTTGTGACTCAGAGGTCTGTACTAGAGTGTTCATTTATTAATTATTTTATTTGATTAATTTTACATATACTTTCAGTGGCCACTTTATTAGGTACCCCTATGTTGTATCCGCTCTCATTGTCCATTTTATCAGCTTCACTCACCACATAGGAGCCCTTTGGTAGTTGTCCAAGTCCGTCTGTGTCTCTTCATGTTATACTTTGTTTATCAATAGATAGGACCCCCACAAGACCACCGCAGAGCAGGTGTAATTTGGACGGTGGATCATTTGCAGCACTGCAGAAAGTTTTTAAACACCTCACTGTCACTGCTGGACTGAGAAAAGCCCACCAACCAAAAACCTCCAGCCAGCAGCATCCTGAAACTGACTGCTGATAATGAACCAGTGGATAAATAACACAAACTGTGCAGCAGCAGATACACATTTCTAACTTTACATCTACAAAGTGGACCAAAGAGGTAGAAGTGTATAGTAGAATGGACAGTGAGTAGACACATGTCAGTGTCACTGCAGTACTGAGAATGACCTACCACCCAAATAATACCTGCTCTGTGGGGGTCCTGTGGGGGTCCTGACCAATGACAAACAGGGTAACAAAGTATGCAGAGAAACTGATGGACTACAGTCTGGAATTGTAGAACTACAAAGTGCTCCTATAAGGTCAGTGGTGCTGATAAAATGGGTGAAGATACAAGGAGCTTGTTTTATTGTTATGGCTGATCTGTGTAAATGGTTGGTGTCTCTGATAAAATGGCCAATAAGTGCAGGTTCAAGGTAGGTGTACCTAATAAACTGACATTTTAGTGCATGTATTTAGGGAAACTGATGCCACTCTTTCCATCTGGATGCCACTTTTCTCCATCAGGTATACCGATACCTGAACCTTCATAAATCCTTACATTTATACCATTTTAAATATTTTATTTGAGTAAAAATAAATAAAACACACTAAGCTTGAGTAAATGGCTTTTAACTTAGCATTTTAATGGGTACAGAGCTATAGAAAGTCACTGCGCTCATTGGCATGATTTATCTTTAAATGCTTAATTTGCTTGCTCCCCTTGAAATGCTGATCAATTTTGTAAAAAGCATTTTTACTACTGGTAATCTTAGCATAAAATAATCCCATTCTGCTGACATGTACTGGTGCACATACAAGCGTCACTCAGTAGTGCGTGTACATGTAGTGCAACACTTAACAGATCAGTATCTTTCTATTTTACTGCAGGCTGCCCATAAAAAATACACTTAGATTGTTTGTGTGCAAGCAAGAAAACACTTAAATAGTAATGTACTTGACACTTCAGTCTATATTTTATTCGTATTTTGAAGAAACAAATCAATATTTAGCGTTTTCATAATGATCAGACTTGGCTTTTCAATGTGAGCACTTCCTCGCTCAGAAACTATCGCAGTACATACACCAATAGCATGGAGCTTCTTTTATACAGTGATAAGAAATGTGGCAGCATAATGTTAATACTTTACAGCAGTATTAAAAAATTAATACTGCTGTAAAGCTGTAGAGGTGCACATAGAAAGACAGAGCATCTATAGTCTCTCATACTGTGAGACTTTAGGTCAAATTGCACTTTCACAAATGCTGACTGCTGAAGAGAAAACAACACATTTTGCTCCAAAATTAGGATTATAATCTAATTGCTGCTTTCCTTTATGACAACAATTCATTTCATTCATGATGAAGGAGTGCATGATTTTTAAGAATTTCTTAAGCGTCAGGTGGACTGACAGTGGCTCAGGTTGTGACTCAGAGGTCTGTACTAGAGTGTTCATTTATTAATTATTTTATTTGATTAATTTTACATATACTTTCAGTGGCCACTTTATTAGGTACCCCTATGTTGTATCCGCTCTCATTGTCCATTTTATCAGCTTCACTCACCACATAGGAGCCCTTTGGTAGTTGTCCAAGTCCGTCTGTGTCTCTTCATGTTATACTTTGTTTATCAATAGATAGGACCCCCACAAGACCACCGCAGAGCAGGTGTAATTTGGACGGTGGATCATTTGCAGCACTGCAGAAAGTTTTTAAACACCTCACTGTCACTGCTGGACTG